CGAAGCTCGCTGAAAAGGTGTTTTACCTCCCTAAATGCCAAAATACGCCTTTTCAGTGCCTCTAGAGAAGACCGCTGTGAAAAAAAAAATAATGGTACTTCTACATTTTATTTGACTGTAAATTAAGTAAACTAATTTTCTGCAAATCGCTGAGCTTTCAGTGAAGGCAGATCAGACATGCAAAGGCTCAGTGTTTCTGAACATGCTGACAGAGGACACAATTTGTGCTGTTACTCGTCAAAAATGAGATAAATAGCATGTTGAGACTATTTCCGTGAAAAGGGGGAAAAATAATATGCTGAAACGATGATCCTGTGGAAACATTTCTGCTGTACTGTCCTGTCTTTGGTGACAGTACTAACGATGAAGGTATTTTGTAGAGAGTGAGTGTCAAGAAGCTGTCTCTAAAACGTCCTGGCATATTATTGTTATAGAAATTGGCTCACACCCAGATGCCTTATGGATCTCACGAGATCAATGGATGGGCATGAGATGAAGAATGTGAAATACAAGTGTGTGCTTGCCTGACATTACCTTCATCTCCTGTGTCTTTCATGACTCTCTGGGTGGCTTGCAGAAAAGCTGGACCTTGGGCCGCTCAAATCCCACCAGCCCAAGGGAGAGTTTCGTTGCAGAAGGGTTAGACAACAGTTCCAGCTTCAAAGTCAGCTGCTCAGGTACATGTTCAGGTCTATTGCTACGTTTTAGCTTAACAGTAGTCTTTTGCCACGCATTTAGCATGTCATGACGACACCTCAGGACTGCAGTGGTTCAAAGTGGTTTAAGGGCTCCCAGCTGTTTGTATTGGTGGCCTGACAGTAAATTGGCTTGGCCAAGAGGGTAGGCAGTGGCCCATATTGAGATAGCCGACAGTGGTCACACCGAGTTTGCATGGATCAAGTCACTTCTGAGTTCAGTGCAATGTTATTGTTTACTGTTTGGACTGCAATAGCACCCAGAAGCCAGAGGTGCTGGTGGAGCTTGGCAGTGCTAGGAGGAGGAGGAAGAGGAGAAGTAGGAGGAAATGCCTTCCTCAAAGAGCTGCAGCCCCAGATCCCTCACTTGGGTGTGAGGCAAATAAAATGAACGTTTGTGGCTAGGTAGAAACACCCTTGCTTCACTGCTACCTGCCTTTGGTGGAAGTGCCTGAGATCAACCTCTGCTGCTATAGGAAAAATTATAATGACCTACATGAATTTCAGAGACCAAAAAAGAAAATCTGGATTTGCTGAAATAAGGGACAGTCTCTTAAGCTCAGCATATTTTTAGAAGATCTTCTGTGTAGAAAACAAAGTCTAATTAAAAACAGACTGTACTGTTGCAGTAACCCACCATTTCACATGTGACCCTGGGAGTCTTCCACCTCTCTGGGTTTGTTAAATCTCATCGTTAACTGCATGGGTCCTGCTTAGTTTCAAAGTCAAGCCTGAAGACTACCTTCTCCACCATATCTTACTATTTTCGAGGCACAAAATGAACATCACCCTGTTTAGGAAACTCTGTTCTTTAGTATTTATTTTTAGAGAACACTACTTGTAACGATTTAATGTCTTCTTTTGGTAACTGTAGGCTCGGTGGTTTTGCGTGTGCTAGTCTCCACTTAAACTTTCTTCCTGCTGCAAATAGCACAAGGGAAGAGATATTTTTGCAGAAAAGCGTAGCTCGGAAACTGTGCTTTTTTAATTACCAGCTGTGAAGAAATCTGTTTTTCCACCAGTTGACTTGCATACTTCTTAGTGGTATAACAGGTTCTGAGGTCAGATCTCCACCACAGATAGCAATGTGAGCTGCCCTCGTTAGGAGACAATCGCACGATGTATCTGTAAGATTCTCCTAAATGCATTGTCTTACAGTTACTCCCTTTGTGGTGAATGAAGTCGAGGGGTTTGGTCCTTCCCTTTCACAGCCTTTACACTTTGCAGGCTGTAAGTCATCCTCAGAAAGGCTGAGGACCAGAGGCACACCTCTCGGCATCTCTCTGCTTCCCTTCCCTAGCGAGCCATCTCCGTGGCACTTCAGCAGAGCAGCAGATGGGAGCAGCAAACACAGTTGGCCAGAGGGCAGAAATCTCAGCAACAAGTCCTTGCAGACAGCAGCTCCTTACTACGTTTTGGGCTTGCACAAGCTGACATCATGAGTATCTCCAGTGTCATCATTCAGAAGTCATCAGCGGCGGCATGCCAAGGGATGCTCAAGGATTAGGATGCAATATACAGACATCCATGCCGTAAAGGACCATGATGACAAGGAAGGGGAGCAGCAGCCCTTGTTAAAATGGGCAGCTCTGAACTTCTTCCTGCAGCATGCTGTCATAGGACTGGCGTGGGAAAACAGCTGAGATACAAGTGGGAGAACAACGTCAAGGGCTAGCCTAGGGGTGGGGTGGTCCAGCCTACAGGCTTCCCACTGTGACCAAAAGCAAGCAACAGAGGTATTCTCCCTGTTACAGCAATGAGGACCTTCACAGAGCTGATGTGGGCTGCGCAACTTGGGTGCACCTCAGCCCCATGTCCGTGCCTCAGCAGGACCAGCAACGGGTGACAGCTGCAGACAGGGGCAGCGCATCAGGAGCGGCCCGGAGCACTGCATGGGCCAGCAGTGCTTACCAGGATCACCATTCCTCGGCTGCCAAGCTGCCATGCTGGATGGCACCATCACAGCACGGCACCATCAGGGTGCTTGAGGCCGCTGAGCTGCTGCAAGCACATGCGGTGATGAGAGCCTGCGCAAGCGCCTGACCGATCAGCACGAAGCTCCGCTTCCTTTCCATCCCCCTCGTTTGGGTGCAAGCAGACCGTGAGACCTAACCAACCTCAAACCCACTAACAGCGAGTTGCAGAGCCTCTGGTTTCCACCCTTTGTGAGGCAGGTCCCCTGAGCCTTGGTCAAAACCTCCTCGCTGGTGCAAGAGCTCTGTATCTTCCCACTTTTACTTGGCAAACTGCCAGCAGCACCTTCCCCCCCAAGACATTTGCGTTGTTACCCTGAATTTCATCACAGAAAGCAACTTTTGCCCAGCTGCAACTTTGAAAGGGGCAAAACCAAACGCCTCAGGCACAGCCTGTTAGATCCAATCCACTTTCCAGATTTACCACCTTTATTTGTTTTCTCCCTGTTACATGGTGTTGGTGTCAGATCCTCCTCCTGGCTGGATGGACCTTATGGGAAACTCCGTTATTAATCAGATTTTGCAGTTCAGTGGGAGGGAAAATAATAAGGAAAGTTGCAAACACAAGCAGGCGAGCAGAAAGCTCTCACTGTCCTTGGGAAATGACGGCTGCCGTTTCTCTGCAAAAACACGCTCGTATTTCCTCTGCTGCAACTTCTCACACCGCTCAAGTTCCCCAGGGGAAGTGAAAAAGAAAACTCAGAGAAGCAGATCAGGAGGGAGAGAGATGGTGACTGACTGTACCAATGGCACAATTTGGGAATGTTTGGGGCATAAAATAGCCATAACATCCACGTGCATCTCTGGGTTGCTACTATCACTTCGAATTTATGGATGGCTAGTAAGTTAAACAGTAACTGTAAATATTAAGAGCTCTTAATCAAGGGGACTAGTTAACGAGGAAGGCCTTCAACTAAGGGATAGCACGTGTTACTATCACCAACAGGGTGGTAGATGAAAGTTGTACCTGGGTTATATTGATGGTGTCACTCAGGCTGGAGAATGCAAGAGATGGTACATGGGCACGTCAGCAGAGAGGTGAGCGGGGGGAGGCTGCCTGTGTCACCCTGACCCAGCCGCACCAGGAGGGAGTCCTGACGTTCTCCTCTCCACCCTCTCTAAGCTGTGGTTGTCAGCTGAGCAATGCCTGACTAACACATACCAGAGGGGTGCCGGAGGTGGTTTTCACAGCAGGACTCAGACAGCCTTGCCCAGGTCCCGTTTCTGTCACTGCTTTGGGCCTTGGTTTATTAACCGGCTCTCACCAAGCAGGACACATCAGTCACGCCATAGTGACACAAGGATCGAGGTGTGAAGCCTTTGGGATCAGAAATCCCGTACAGTTTCCACGAGTATTCAGGTGTCTATGTGCCTACACCAAAAAGGGCAGCCTTTTGCTAATTTTTTTATTGTTTTATTTCAATTGCTGTCAAGATCATTCCTCCCTACCATCCTAACTGCGAGAGAACCAGTAGTGTAAGCCAATACTCAGATGCTCCATCAAGTCCCGTCCTGCCACAGCCTGAAGCAACACGTTCCTCTCCCACTGACGACTCAGCTCGATTCCTACTAACCTGCTGTGGGCAGAAGCATTAGCTCAGGATCTTCAGGCCACACTGTCCCCCCCCCCCCCCCC